TGGCCCTGCTGCTGCTGCTGCTGCCCGCCTGCTGCCCCGTGCGGGCGCAGAACGACACGGAGCCCATCGTGCTGGAGGGCAAGTGCTTGGTGGTGTGCGACTCCAGCCCGTCGGCGGACGGCGCCGTCACCTCCTCCCTGGGCATCTCCGTGCGCTCCGGCAGCGCCAAGGTGGCCTTCTCCGCCACGCGGAGCACCAACCACGAGCCGTCCGAGATGAGCAACCGCACCATGACCATCTATTTCGACCAGGTCAGCCGCCAGCCTGCCCACCCCGCCCCCAGCCCGGGGAGAGGGGCGGGGATCTGCGCGCGCGGGCTGGGGTTCAGGCTTCTTGGACATGGAGTTTCCAGGCTCTGTCCTCCCCCTCTGCCCTGCTACTCTCTTTCCTCCCGTTTTATAGAACGCACTCCTACTCTTTCCCTTTTCCACATTGTGGCTTTTTAAAAACTTTTAAATGATCAGCCAACTTGGCACTTGGATGACTGAGAGTCCCTTAAGGCTGTCTAAGCTTTCTAAGAGTTCCGTAAACCTAAAGATTTGAAATGTATTTCCCAAAAGGAAGCATTGCACGTTTTACTTTTCACGGCGGTGTGGTTGATGGTCTTCAGTCACCCAGGTGCCCACCTGAAGGATTGAGTGCATTTAAATCTCTCCACTCTCAGAAAAGGACTCTTCCCAAGTCTCTGCCAGCATTTGGAAAATACAGCCTATTGCTTATTTTTAGGAATGGATTGGGGGAGGGATGTTTATCTTAAAAAAAAAAAAAAAAGAAAGAAAGAAAAAAACGTGAGGACAAGCAGGGATGGTTATATAAATACTAAACAAAATATTGTGATTATATAAGTAAAATATATAGTAAATAGAATATATACCATAAGCAAATGCAATATATACAAATCTTTTAGAAGAGCAGTGACTTACATCACCTTAAGCCACTTAACTTATGCCATTTGGTTCAATGCAGAGGTCTCAGAGATATGATCAGGCCTTTCCAAACCCTTCTCTGGATTATTGGTGTCCAGGGTTAAAGGCTGTAACCTTCTTTTTGGGTCCCGCTCGCCTGGTTTCTGTTGTTTTTCAGAAAAAAAATTAAAAGCATTATAGAGATTTCCAAGCTTTAGCTAATTAGCTAATTGCCCAATCATTTTACCAAAGTGTTTCCCACAGAATGGAGCGCCTAGCAGTCCCTGACAACCTACCAGGGCTTACTGTACGTGTTTAACTGACTTTCCTTTGGTCTGTTAGGCAACTCTTAAACTTAATAACCATAAACCTACAGACACACACTCTTGACTCTAAGCCAGGGTATTTATTTCTTAATCATTGTTAAGCTTCAAGTATTTGAGGTTTTTTTTTGGGGGAGGGGGCGGGCGGAGGCATGTGTCTCTTTAATTCATTTTTTTTTTTTTACAAAATGTAAAATTATTTATTTTGATTATGTCCAAATGAGACAACAATGGAATAGGCATTTGGGAACTAATACTCTATTAGTACGGTTTCCTTTATATGCTGTTATTGTTATATTATTATTATTCACTTACAATGTCTTGCAAAGTTTTCATAGCATTTTTATATCCCTCTTTGCATTTGTGTATCAAGAAAGCTCTGTGATGTAGGGCAGGATAAGTAGTAGCAGGATTCTAATTTTATACATGAACAAACTATGGCAGGGTGCGTTCAATGTTTCTCTGGCTCCCCAGTTAATGAGGAGCTGAGGTCTGCTTTTCTGGGTCTGGTTGGGTGTTCTTGCATCTACAGCAGGGATAAATTCTACCTGAATTTATCAGCTTCCAGAATGTAAAATTGAGGTGAAGGAGTTGAGGTGAAAGAAAGAAGCAGCTCCGGAGGCTTAAATGGAGACTGCTTTATCCTTTTCTAAAGCTTTGTAAGGAAGACAGCGAGCATAGCCTTATGAGACTGAGAATAGGCATCCCGAGGTGCTTGTCTTAACAATGGAGCCCAGAGTGTCTGTCTCAGTCCTGCCCTTGAGTGGAGCTGAAGTGGTGCTCCCAGCTGGGTTGAAGAAGCTGAAACAGGCATATTTCACAAGTCATTTCGGCGATCGTCATTGGCAGCATTTCACATTGCGTTGGGAATTGCATGTTATTTATCTATAATGAGCGTGTAAGAAATAACAGCAAAGGTATTGCGGTTGAAGTTTATATTCTCATTAGATCACAAGATCTTAAACCCAGGATTTTGATGTTGTTGCTGGCTGTTTATTTTAAAAGGCAGGCCATCTTATTATTATAAAGGAGTTGTGCATTTATGGATGAGGAGGATGGAGATGGCATCCAAAGTGGCCAGAGTCTGTGTTGAACATCTGAAAGAAATTGGGTCATCATGGGGGTCCCGCCACTCTTGCAATTCTGCTTATGAAACACTCACCCCTGCCCTTTTATCTGAGAAAAGCCATCTGCAGGGTCATGAGCTCATTCCAGGTGGCTAATTTTGTCATTGTTTTGCATGTTGTAGAGTTTGCATTAGCTTAAGCTAAGGATGTCCAAGCTGCCGATTCTCCATTTATTCAAGCTCATTTACAGGGGCACCATAGCTCAGGCAAGGGAGCAGCACATTGCTCAGGGAAAAGTACGGAAAAGCAGGAGTAGCAAATGTTTTTCTGCAAAGGTCTTTCATTCAGCACCCATCATCGACTACCTACTGTGTGCGTCCAGAGTGTGCCAGGCACTGGGAACCACTGGAGATCCACACCTCATACAGCCCATTGTCTCTGGGAACACATGAAGTTAGGTCCCACGCTTGAACTTGCAGAAGTGATCTTTAATTGGCCTCTTGCTCCATAGCCCCTTCTCTACCCACTCAGAATCGAACTCTTTTTTTTTTTTTTGTCAGACAAGGTATCATGTTGATGTACCCATAATCCCGCGGACCTCCCTGGACTCAATTTAGGATTTAACAAGCTTACAAGCTTCGATTCCTTTCTCTCTGCCCTGCCCCTTTAACTCACAAAATTCACAGCCAGTTTTTGAATGCATAAATAAAATATGCTTTAAAAATGTTGATTAGTTACAATGTATTAAAATACCTTTGAGATTACTTCCTGCTGTAGGATCTTTTAACTTCAGCACTGCTTCCTTTCTGGGAAGCCAGAACGCTGAGGATGCTGAATTTGTGTTCCCAGCCGCTGATGAAGGAGGCAGTGTTGCTGGTTATCCAAGGATGATGAAAACATACACTGAGGAGGGGCTTGCTATTGTGTGCTGTGTTCCCTCTTCTTTTTCAGGTATTAGTAAATATTGGCAACCACTTTGATCTTGCCTCCAGTATATTTGTAGCACCGAGAAAAGGGATTTATAGCTTCAGCTTCCACGTGGTCAAAGTGTACAACAGACAAACCATCCAGGTGGGTAGACTTGAAACTGGATCCTTTCAGGTTTGGGTTAATAGTTCCCCATCGCTAAAGACCCCTGCACCTGGTCTCTGAGGTTGAGGGAAACAGGGTATTGGGCTATTTAGGGGTGATGCGGCTCTGAACTAGCTGGGAGTGCTCACTGTCAGGCCCCCTGATGTGTACTGGAAGGGTAGGATGGGGGTGGGAGTGGGGATATTGGCAGAGGAGAGAACAGTGTGTAGGAGTTGGGTCCTTTATGGTCTGCTGAGCTCTACTCTCTGCATTTTAGGTCAGTTTAATGCAGAATGGCTACCCAGTGATCTCGGCCTTTGCAGGAGACCAGGATGTCACCAGAGAAGCTGCTAGCAATGGCGTGCTGCTGCTCATGGAAAGGGAAGACAAAGTGCATCTCAAACTTGAGAGAGGCAACCTCATGGGGGGTTGGAAATACTCCACATTCTCGGGCTTCTTGGTGTTTCCTCTATAAACACAGAGCACCCTAGATGGTGGGGGAATGGCAATCTGGACCCAGGAATCCGCCCTTTAAAACACCCTGAACTTGCTGGAATTGGGACACCTTGTTTCCAACCTCCATCAGCCTGTTGCTGTAGAAGAATGATTTCCTCTGAAACCTCCAGTACTTTTGTTTTTGTTTTTTGGAATATTGACAATTCCTCGGGAACCTGGCCTCTAATTAGTTTTAGATGACAAGGTCTTAAGGAGAAATGAAATTATCGATTTGAGCAATTTGTACCTGTGATTATAAAGTCAATATCGGATTTTATTGTTGGGACCATGGACCTCTTTTGTTTGTATGTTATATTGTTGTCCCAATGGAAGGAGAGCTCCTGATTCCAGGATGGACTGCAGGTTGCAGTCAGGGCTTGAAGCAGGAGCCCAACAAAGAACCACCTGATGGACAGTCCTTGACATGTGTTCTGTGTGCGTCTGTATAGCCTTAAGAAAAAGAATGGCTTCACTTTCATTCTGTATTCTTCCCCCCACCATGTGGATGGGAGGACTTGGGAGGGGGATGGGGACATTGTGAACCTGTCAAGAAGTGCTTTATCCAGAGAAGCAAGTTTTGCACGATTGGACTGCAGCTTTTGTTTTGTATTGTTTGTGTTTTTTCTTGAATAGCTTTACTTTTCTTTCCACACTCAGCTCTCCCTCCTCAACCCCACTTTTATTTTTCTTGCTGGGATTGGGGAGAGAAAATATATGTTGAATTCCTGGATAAGACCAAACAAAACAAAACATTAAAATACCTGTATGTTTTGTTTTAGACGAGACCAAACCAAACAAAAAGAATCTGTTTATCGAAGTAAAAATAACACAATGTACAATTCGGCTTATTCTCTCAAAGAGATTCTAAGATGTACCTTTAGAACTATTAATAGCAACCTGGATTTTTTTAAAATTTATACTTCAGAATGCTTTAAGAACCTGGTGTTCCTGGGTGGTCCTGAATCGTATAAGTTGGGAATGGAAGCTGTAATGACCAAGTCCCCTAAACATACTGCTTCTTTGCCACGTGTGCTGTGACTTCTTAGCGGGTGTTTTAATTTATTTGGATCCACCTCTGAGTGAGCACACAGTGATCAGGTGCTTCGAAGCCAACAGACCAGCTCCTCTTCCTCCAGATCCTCTTTTGATCTGCCCAGGAAAGGGATGCATTGCCACTCTCCTGCATGCACCTGGCGAGAAGCCACCTGGAAGTCACTGTGGTTAAAGATATTGGTGGAGGTACCCCAGGAGCACTGTTACAAATCCTTCTTGTTTTGACACCTCTTACAACAACATTATTAAGACACAGCTGAGAGTTGATGGGTGTGTAATTCATATGCCAAGGAAATGTCACTGATCCCAAAGCAATCAAAGAGGAGACCTCAAACCAGATGTTAATTTGTTCTTTGTGTAACAATGTAACCAAAATATTGATGATGAAAGTCATAATTTAAGATTCAGAATAAATGGGTTTGATGTCTGGCTTGCTCTTATCCTCCACTTCGTCTCCCAACTCGTAAAATGTGTGGAAGTAAAGGCCGACTGTCAAGGACCTGGGGAAGATAAATCTATACAGTGCCTCTGTAAAAAAATGTACTCTCAAACACACACACACCGGTATGTGCAGACCTGGCTGTGGGTCTGGATGGATATTGTACACTTAGATATATTTCAGTTTATACATATGTATTCTTTAAAAGGAAGATCTTGGGGGAGATATGTGAAAAAGACAGCTTAAGAAGGTTTTAGGGATAGGCAGTCTGCTTTTATCACATGTCATCTTTGATGTGGTGCAAGTTCCAATCCAGTATTTTCATCAGTGAACACTGATATAAAAGAAACTAACATTTTAAGAGCATAAGTTGTTTCCAAAAATGTGTATGTGAGGATGGAGAGGAATTAGATTCCATTTTTGAAAAAGAAATTCAGTGGTGATTATATAAATGAGAAAATGTATAGTTTGACTAAGGGTCTAAGTTTTACTTTCCTTGGATGAAGAGCATAATGGGATGCAGAATTTTATTTGAATTGAAATGCTGTTGCATTTTGTGAGGGAAAAAATCAATAAAAGAGCATTGGGGTACCTTGGCTTTGTGATTAGGAGACATACTTCTAAATAAGAACATTATTTGTGAAGGCTGATAACATAACGAGAAGGATGCTGGAATATGGTTTATTACTCTTGGTTATTTTAGTCCTCTTTCCCCCATTTCCTTAAACTTACGTTCAATTTCAAACAGGAAACCTCATTAGAGGACAGTATAATATTCCACAGATTGAAGCGTATACAAGTACTTGTTACTTTTGTCACTTAATCATATATAACACATGTATGTTTGTATTTACACCTGTATTACATACAGGTTGTTATTGGGCTATCCTGGCTAATAAGCAACCTATTAATTAGACAGTTTAAACAAGAGTATATTTCAGGCCGGGCGCGGTGGCTCAAGCCTGTAATCCCAGCACTTTGGGAGGCCGAGACGGGCGGATCACGAGGTCAGGAGATCGAGACCATCCTGGCTAACACGGTGAAACCCCGTCTCTATTAAGAAATACAAAAAACTAGCCGGGCGAGGTGGCGGCGCCTGTGGTCCCAGCTACTCGGGAGGCTGAGGCCGGAGAATGGCGTGAACCCGGGAGGCGGAGCTTGCAGTGAGCTGAGATCGCGCCACTGCACTCCAGCCTGGGCGACGGAGCGAGATTCCGTCTCAAAAAAAAAAAAAAAAAAAAAAAAAAAAAAGAGTATATTTCAGGCGTTTATTTTGTATTAGAAAAAACATGATATCCTGATTATTCTACTTTAGTTCATCTTCTTCTTCTTCTTTGCTTTCTTTTTCTTGAGATGGATTCCAAAACCTGCCTTAGGAAGGAGCGATGCTGCCAGTGTCCCTAAAGTGGTTTCTTATCCCCTGCAGCATCTGCCAAGGTTGTGTTTGGCTGAGGATCTATGAGGCATCTGAAGCTCCTGTGTTTTGTCTACAAAAATATATAGGTCAGATCAAAATGTAAAATATGTATTTTTTTAATTGGAAAAAAAAGAGAGAGGTCTCTGTAACATCCGAAGGGCCATCTGAGCCCTGTCTCTGAGTTTCAGTTTCCTCATCTGGGTGAGGGCAGTAGCCCTGCCAGGTCCCCCACCTCACAGGACAGCTGGGAGGACCGCACAGAAGTGCTTTGAAAGCTGGAAGGCACCAGGATAACATGGGGGGTGTTCTTGGCAGGGAAGGTGTTTCTGCAAAAGCATGTTTTTAACATGCAATTTATGAAAAAAATTAATATGACTGACGGACAATTTTATGAAAGTAAATATCCATATTTCTGAATAGACAAAACTGTAGCACTGGGTTAGAATTTTGTCTCATTTGATTGTAGGGATGATGATAATATCAAAATCTATATGTTGTAATATTAACTCAATTCTCAATTACGTTCTTTGGCTGTCCTGTGTGGTGCAAGTTCAGCTCTCTGCTTCCGTGTGGAATGCCAACATTTTATAAAAATATACAACTGTAATATTTTTAACACAAATAAAAAAATGAGGTAGTAATGTTATGGCATTATAACAGTAAATTGCCTTGGCTGATAAATATTAGCCCTACTAAATTGTAAATGCTTATAAAACAACACAATTTTTTAAGTTAAAATATATTCTAATTTAAATCGCAAACTTGATGAGTCAGCTCTAGGTCCTGAGAAACTATGTTTACTATCTGTAATTTCTGAGCCTTCATTGCATCCTAATAATTTTGATTTATGTGTTCATGTATATGTGAAATTATCTACAGTTTTAAAGTGTGTGCTTATAATAGCGGCTCAGAGTAAAGGTGATTAAAAACTTATTGAATATTAGCATAAAAACTCACAGAATCCTGTGAGGTTCATAGATTTACATAATCCTGTGAGATACATAGATTCATAGATTTACCTGTTTGAAAATATTTTAAAGCTAAATCTAATTATATTAAGCATCAGAAGAATTAGAAAATATATATATATAAAGCCCAAAACATTTGTTGAATCTTTAACTTTATTTGTAGTATTTTCTTACCATCAAGAAATTACAGTGGTCACATATTAGTAACTATCACATAAATACTGTTTGCTTGTGAATACATGAACATCCCCCTCTGAATTTTTAGCGTAGAAATACAAAATAAACTGCAGGGTTTGGCCACATACTCCTGGAATCGAGAAATATGTGAGAGGAAAATTTGATAAATTATTTTATGCAAGCAAAATAAAAGCGTTGGTTGTTCCAGAATACATTAGATGTCGCAAAAGGAACAAAGAATGTTCTGTCAATTTGTAGGACCATAATTTTGCAATCTTTTATGAGGAAAAATGTTGCAATGAGATATAATGTTTGTGTGAATAAAGTAGTGAATGTGTGTTTATGTTTTGACAGCGTAAGAAGTATATAATAACCTAATGCACAGATACACATGAATGAAAGGTTCTTTTACATTATGTTTAAGATGGGGAACTCATAGAAGGAGCTTACAGTGAATCCTTCTAAAGATTTATTGAGTACTCTGTGAAAACACTTGTAAAAATGTGGAATGATTAACTGTAGAACTACAATGAGTTTTGCCCTTTTGCCTTGCTTATATGGAGATTTATTTGTCATTGGGATTCTATTTCTAAAGCTGGCACTTTGCTACTAAAATGGGATATTACAAACATATTTTTAAATTTAATATCAAAGCCTGTTAATTCTCATGAGACTCTTAAAATTATTTTCTCTTGACATTTAAAGAGCAAGCACACCAAATATACTGAAGTATGTTAAAATACAAATTTTGCTTTGGTTTTATCATTTGATGCTTTTTGTGCTCTGTATCTTTTTTCCTATGATACACTATGAAGAAATTAGCTGATGATGACCACAATTATTAGTCAAATGTGTTCGCGTATTTGCCCTGCATTTTAAAACTTATTTTTGCAGAGAGAACTCACCAAAAGGCATATTTACTGCCTTTGCAGATGGATGGCTACAGTTTTTAAAGATATTTTAAACGTCTGCTTTGTTACATAGCTATCCATGATGCAATTGGACAATTCCAGTCCTCAAATCCCCAGTCCCCAAAAGAAGACATCACATTAAAAATCCTTCATAAGATCCAATGGATGTAAAGTTTAAAAAATGGGCATGTATGCAAGTATGTATAATAGCATTATGCTCAAACATGAATCTTAAGTAAATGAGCTTTCCTTGCATTCCCAGACCCAGTGGGGTAACTTGAAATTTGTAAGGGCAAAAGCCACGTGATTGTGCCTCCTACAGATAATAGGAGTTCTGTTTTATCATCCTAAGTGGGTTTTGCTGTGGATTTCCATCACCAGAATTACTCAAGTGTCTATAGCATCATAAATCATCATCTTCATCAGCTCACCCACATACACTCACTGTGTAGTGTAAATGAGCTCCTTGACAACTTAATTTGGAAAAGAAATCTTCATTCCCTCTTCTTAATGCCTACGGCAGGACTCCCCACGGTTAGAATGCTGCTTTGCACCGAGGCTATTGTAACAAAATGGAAGCTACTAATTAATGAGCCACTACCACTCTTGCAACCTGACTGGTAATGAATGTAACTTTTATTATTGTTCCCCTGCTTTCTTCAGGAATGCTGACTTCTTTTGAATTTGTATCAGGTTGCAATAAACACTGAGTTGGAGAAGAATGTTGGCAATAATCTGGAATGTGAAACTCCTGAATATTTTGCTGAAGTCTGTTTGATCTAACTTTATTCATGTAAAAATACTTATATTAATCTCTTATGTCTTCGAAGTCCTCTAGGATATAGGGGCATTTTCTTCACTTTATACCAAAAAGAAACATTTCCTGATTCTGGGTGCAGCATTATTGTGGAACTGACACAATGAAAATATTATAGGAAAAAGAATATCGAAAAATAACCAAATTAATTGAGAAAAAATTGGCAAATTCTTCTTACTACTAAAATCCCTCATTTGCAGTGTTTTTACGTGGATCTTAAAGATTCCCTCCAGTCTTAAAAGTATATTATTCTATGTAACATTTATCTTCGAATTGCTAATTTTCTGTTATAATTCTTTCAGAGAGGAGATTATCACTGAAACACAAATGTAGGACATGAGAATGTGATACTATCTTCTTTTCTAATTCCCAAGCACCATGTCAGGATGTCATAGCACAGTTTTTGTTCTGAAATTGTAAACTCTTAAGTGGAAGAAGCAATTATAGGATTTATAAAAAATGATCTATTCTTTTGGGAACAGAGTATAGATATTTTCTTTTCATTTCACAACATTTATGTATAGCAGCCCAGGGGCCAGAGAATGTGCTTAAGGATGGTGATAGAAAATTGAAGATACCCTCAGTGTGCAAAAAGAGCTTGTAGTCCTTAGAAAATAGCATTCAGAATCATCTGGGAGGATACTCAGCTAAACTGATGGTGAGGGGGTGGGCTGGGGTGGGTGAGGTGGAAATGTAAATG